GTAAGTTGAGCGTAAGCCTGATCAAATTCTCTTAGGATTTATTGGGTGGATTTTGGGGCTTGTCATGTTTGGTCATAGAGGTTTTTTAGGCACCAGGATTAGGTGCTTGACTAATAGTAGCATTTCTTCCATTCTTGCAAGGTTTGGTGACATTTCATGAATTCAGAATGAAAGCCAGAGATATGTGCTGATAACACATCCTGATCTCATTGGATATCGGTGGTATTTGCATTTTTACTTGACGAGGTCACTTTCTTACAAATTCAACTGCCAGGTAGTTTTGCTTCAGAATCTTTGAATGACATTAGTAAGTGACCTTCAAACTCTTGAGGGCCTGAAATTGTTGGATATGTCGCACACCGTTTCTCATCAGAGTTGCTCTGGCAGGACAGGGCTAGGTCTTTGACATCTGATGTGAAGCTCTGAAAAGTAGCTATTATTTGCTGGTTACGAGTGTTTTCTGTGCTCATGTGGTGCTCTATTTGTGTCTCCACTATTCCAATGCAGGAGTTGCTATTGGTCATCAGCCACTGGATTAAAGTGGAGATGAATTGTGTTTGCAACTTGATTGGTCTGTTGTTGCATGGATCGTGGGAAAAGTAGATGCCTGTGTATTCTGTTCTCATTCCACATGACCTGCTGTTTAGTACTTGTGTCTTCCACCTCAACTGTCTTTGGTGATTGACATTCTTGTTTTGGATTGGTTTAGTGTTTCCAGTTTCCTTTCCTCTACATTATTCTACCATTATTGTAAAAAAGATACAATAGGATATGTATGGATGTGGGTCTTGACTTTTGCCATTATTAAATTAATTGAGCTTAAGCCTGATCTAGCACTCTAATCAATACTTATAAAAAGAAATCCTTATATTCATTTTTTGTTTTTAAACTTCTTTCTCAATGCATCACTAGGGAAGGTGAGCATGTACTTGATCAATATTAATTTTCCAAGGCATTCATGACGAACAATCTGTGAAGTACTTTTATTTTTTTTTGTTTTTGGTCTCTCTGCCCAGTTTATGAGTGAAAGTAGAACATCAAGCCCTCTCTAATGCCAAGTTGAAGTCAACGAAACTGAATGGGCCATGAATGACGAACAATCTGTGAAGTACTTGCCCTCTCTAATGCCAGGTTGAAGTCAACGAAACTGAATGGGCCATGTGGTCGTAATCCAATGATGACAGCTATCCAGGTGAAAGCTACTCGTGGCTTCCTGCTGAAGAAACACACTAGCCGAAGTCCCAGAAGGTATTTCAATGCTTATTTTACATTATTATCGTTGACTATTGGAATGCACAGTGTTAGTCTAATTGCTTGCTAGTTCAAGTTTCTCGGATTGAAATATTGGAAGCTGCGCACTTTCCACTGCTGAAGATACGCAATTAGTTGCTTATGCAATAGTGTAAGCTGGAGTTGGTGTTCTTGTTCATGAGAAATGACAGTCCAGCCTGATATAACTTGTTAGCAGTGGCAAGTTTGTGCTGGTAATGGGGGTGACAGTAGATTGGTAATAATATCGACTTCAAATTCATCGAGAAAAGGTAAGTCTAAGGGGAAAAGGGTAGCGGAAAGTTTTCATTTCAAGCTCAGGCAATCAAAGGCAATCTCTTAAGGTTCAGTCTTGGACAGGGGCGGAACCAAAATATAAAATTAGGGGGCAAAATGCTGTAATTTATGCAATGTTTTATAAGAATATTAAAAATGAACTTAAAAAAAATTAGAAAAAAATTTTCTTTACAGGGGCCGCGTCCCCCTGTCTCCGCCCCTGGTCTTGGAGGTGATTATCAGAAGGCATGGTTTTGTCAAGCCAGATAAACTCGCAATCCGCTTATTTTATTTATGTATATATAAAATAACCCCAATCTTAGGGTTCTGTGAAGTTCCCCTAAATCTACGAATTCCATTTTGTAATTGCTTGAGGTTCTAATCTTGTTCCCTTCCGCTCTCAACCCTTTCATCTTTCTCCATCAACTTTCCCCATTATTTTTATGGTCTGTGATATAATTCCATAGGATCTGCATGATCGAAAATTAGCACCAAAAAAGAAAAAAAATTGTTGATGGCATTAAATTAAGTTCCCGGTTGAGATTGTGGACTAAATATTGATTTTTAATTTTTTTTAATTTGGAAATCTTTTTAATATATTGATATTAAATAAATTTTTTAATAAATAAAAAATATTATTCTAATATACTTCAAATAAAAAATATTTAAAAAATAACCAACGCTGTATATTTTTACAATTCTATGCGAACCACAAATAGAATAGAACTATAATTTTGCCACAGACCAAAACTCTATATTTCTACAATTCCATGCGAACCCCAAATAGAATAGAACTATAATTTTGCCACAAATTTTGAAATCTTTTTAATATATTGATATTAAAAATAATTTTTTAATAAATAAAAAATATTATTCTAATATACTTCAAATAAAAAATATTATTCTAATATACTTCAAATAAAAAATATTTAAAAAATAACCAACGCTGTATATTTTTACAATTCTATGCGAACCACAAATAGAATAGAACTATAATTTTGCCACACCATTTTCTTATAACGGCACACCTCAGCATTATCGTAGTAAGCTCTTTAAAAACGAGCCGTTGAGGCGTGCCGTTATCAATCTGAGGCGTGGCAAAGTCACCATCCTCACGGGCCACGGCACTATCTTTATAAAAAAGAAAACAAATGGAATGGCAGAGTAATTTACAAGTCTATATCGTAATAATCACAGAGTTGCGAAAACATTAACTAAATGTAAGAACAGCAATATCGCATAAAAATAAGACGTGACCCCAAGGAGAGTAGGAGACAGGAGCATCGAAATTTGAACATAAATCAATAAAAAATACAAAGAAAGAAAGAGCACAGCGGGGAGAAAATTCCATGGGGGAAAAAAGCGGGGGAGTAAAAAGGACGAAAGAACGAGCCAATCAATCACTAGACGATAGTCAATATTCGGGGACAGGTAGGTCCTCCTCATCTGGCGGAGCCAACACCCAGTCACCATCTTCGTTTCTGACCATCCCTTTGTTCTTCTCTACCCACCAAATCCCAGGGACCAGGCACTCGTCGTTCAAGAACTCACATGACTTGTTCACCAATGCCAAGCTCCTCTTCACTTTCAGCTCAAAGTCTTGTTCCTCGCCGTTCCACCCTGCCACTATATGCAACATGGCCTGCAAATTATGCCAATCACTCGGATTCTTCGAGTCCTTCAAGCTTGGAGATTTCCTCGTATCAATTTCAAACTCAATTCCAGTAGAAGCATAGCCCATCAATCGCCCTGGATAGTGCGGTATAACATCAATCTTATTTTTTATATGCATAACCTTAAGATTTGGATACTTGTTAAACCTCTCGTTGAATTCCTTGTTTCCAACTTGTGGGCTGCCAAAGACAAAAGCTGATACTGGGATATCTGTAATTCCATTTTCCACAAGATCAAAAGCACTCAAAATTGATAAACTAGCACCAAGGCTGTGACCAGTAAAGATAATGCTCAGGTCGTCATCCTTGTATCGCTCCCTTAGCTCTTTAATATGGACCGAAAGCTGCGCCCTGGCACTTAATTTGGTGAAAGGCGAGTTCGGGTCGTCAGAAATATACATCGAAAGCCAGCCTAGCATGACTTTAGGAACTTTGTCATCGTCATCGTCATCGTCACTGCTGCTGCTGCTTCCTTGATCACGAGTAGTGCTTGTAGCACCCCTTAACAATGGTTTAGCAGACTTGAGCTTTGCGCCTAAGATGTTAACCCATTCGTAATTTCTGGTGGTTCCGCGGAAGGCTATGTAGATTTCACGGCGGCCAAGTGTTTTCGTCTGTTCATCAGAGGTGACAGCGATGTAACCAATCCAGTTGGTTTCACGGTCCCAGGAATCACGAGATAGAGAGTGGAGAAGGAAGGCTTCCGGGAGGCTGACACGAGCAGTGGCGTAGAGGAAAGAGGAGACTTGATAGTTTTCGGGGTTGTCAAGCATCACTTTATGAAAGAAGTTGCGCTTGCCGTACCGGCTGGTGCCGCAATACCTGGAGTTCTTGTCGTTGTTGAAGGCATCATATGTGGCCTGGCAGAAGTCGCCACATCGGATAATGAGTTTGCGGAGGCTCAGGTCGAGAGGGTCAAGGAGATTATCCCAGTTTTTGCTGCCCAGGATTTCAGGCCATGTCGCCTCACTTGTTCCGTCCATGGGGAGGTTGCTAGCCAGGTATCTGCGCTAGGTGCTGTAAAGAAAATGGAAATGAGGTGGGACTCGTGGTATCGAAAAACCAAAAGTAAACATAAAAAAGAAAGATGCGGTGTTAAGGGCACATGAGTGATGTTGATGATAATGCTGTGATTGCGATCCACCAAGGTACATTTGCTTTTTTAAATGGATAAATTGGTCATTTAGCTTTTAAAATAATCATGAATTAACACTTGAGAAACAAATTTAGTGAATTAGTATATTTTTTAATATTATGTGATATTAATAATAATTTGAAGTTTGTCTTCTTCTTCTTCTTCTTTTTTTTTTTTTATGCAGGCAACAAGAAGCCCGATATTCATAAGTCCGATACCGAAGTCTTCCGATACCCTTCTAAAATAGACATGGTCACGTGGTGGTCCCTTCAAGAGTTTACCCTCGCCGTTTTATTTTTTGAATTATTATTACAAACTACAAAAGTCTTCGTCAATGGCCACTCCCAACCACAGATCAGGAACCCTATGGTCCTAATTTATCATGTCTCTTGCTCAGACCACAAACTAAACATTACAGACATAAGCTTTCACTTTGCAGTAGATAGAGATGGATCCTGATCATTTTGGTAATCGAGAGACGGAATTGGGTGACTTGATGGAGGGGTTTGGGAGCTATGAATTTAGCTGTAAGTCAAAACTAAACATATTTACTCGGAATTTTTTTATTATTTAATTGACAAGTAGTTTGTTTTTCATCTTTGGTTTCCTGCTGCGCATCTAACTTTCAAAATCAAGATCCTTTTGGAGACTTTTTCCATGGTATGAATATGATCCATCCAAGATTCATAACTGAACTCGCACTCTCTCAAGAAAAGAAAAAACAGGTTTATAAGAAATTAAGCTGTATCTACCAAACATTTGCAGACGGTTGTGGCTGTGATTACACAAGTCAATTCACTTTCTTAATTTTTTTTTCTTTCTTTTCCAAAGCAAGAGAGCCTCGTCTATAGATAGATTAAGGTAACTGAGAGTTTCTTTTTCGAATTCTTCTCCATATATACATGATCTTGGTATGAAAAAGGAAACGGCAGTTTGAATAAAAGATCAAGTTGTTCATTCTTTTTTACCTATCTCTTTAGTATTTGCTTCAAATCTGAATATAGTATTCCATTTCATGGGTGATTTTTCTTTGTTTTTCAACCAATAATGATGAAAATAACCTATATTTCTAGTCTTTTTCTGAAAAAATAATTAAAGAAACCGGTTGAGTGACTGGAGTCTGTATAATAACTTAATAATGAAAATCTTCCTCCCTCGTTATTTGACTTTGCAATTCATCATTGTTTTCCATAATAAGTCTTTAAAGTGATTTTCTTCCAACAAATAGAATGTTTCCTAGATATGCGTGTTTTGGGAAAAATAAATAATTGATCTGATTTGTCATGTGTACCGTCCAGGTTCAAAAAACTACGATGAACTGAACGTGCCGTTCGATTACCAATTCCAGTCACAAATTGATGATCTGGGGGGAACAAGCAATAGAGTACTCCAGACAGACAATCCACGCGACAGAAAAAAAAGAAATGACAAGGAATATCGAGCCCGTTGTAGGGTATTCACTCTTTTATTCCCCTGATTAGTACATATATATATAAAAAAAATAAAAGAAGGGTTAATTAGTATTATCATGCAGGAAGCCCAGAAAAGACAGGAGGAGGAGTTGGAGAAACTAGCGGTAGAAAATGAACGCATGAAGAACGAAAATGAATCCCTGGTGAAGGAAAGGGTTACAGTTTTGAGTCCGAAGTTGGAATCAGCAGCCATTGAGATAAATCGACTTAGAAGTGAAAGTCAGAGTTTGAAACGCAGCAGCGACAACCAAATAATTCTTGTGCATGCTTTAACTTAAAAACTGGTAATTTTTCTTGGTAAATGATATTTATATAGTTTTATTTATTAAAGATAAAATAGTATTTTTAGTTTAATTTATGTATATTTTATTTATATTTCAATTAAGGATGAGCATTCATAATATATAGATTATTCAGAATTCTAGTTTCCTTTTTGTGTTTGATTTTAATTATTTTAACATGATATCAGAGCTGGTTTTATGAAACGAAACTTAATCCCAAACACAAATTTTTTCGAGTGCGATTTTGTCTTTCACTTATGTAAAATTTGATATTTCGTTAGTTTCTGTAATTATTTTGGTATTTCATCTTTCCTTCAGCTTTTGCAATTTGGTATTTGCGTTCAATTTCTGCAAATTTGTTTTATGTTTTGGAGTAATCGTATAATTATAAGAAGATATTTATTTAGTTTCTGTAATTTTGTATTTTGTTTTCCGCTACTTTTGCATTCTGGTTCTCTGTGATTATTGATTATGGCTAATGAAAGAGATAATTCGCTTCAATCTGTAAGTGTGAGGTTGGATGGGAAGAACTATTCATATTGGAGCTATGTAATGAGAAATTTTCTTAAGGGTAAGAAGATGTGGGGGTATGTTAGTGGAACTTATATGATACCTAAGAATGTTGAGGAGGGGGATGCTTTTTTTATAGATACATGAGAAGAAAATAATGCAAAGATCATTACTTAGATCAACAATGTTGTTAAGCATTCGATAGGCACGTAGTTGGCGAAGTATGAGACAACAAAAGAGGTTTGGGATCATCTACAAAGGTTATTCACGCAATCAAATTTTGCAAAACAGTATCAATTAGAGAATGACATACGAGCTCTTCATCAGAAGAATATGAGCATTTAAGAGTTTTATTCTGCTATGACAGATCTTTGAGATCAATTGACTCTTACAGAATTAGTAGAGTTAAAGGCATGTGGTGCCTGTATTAAGCGTAGAGAGCAGCAACGATTAGTACAGTTTTTAACAGTATTTCGCAGTGACTTCGAAGGACTTAGAGGTTCAATTCTCCATTGTTCTCTACTACCTTCTGTTGACTCTGTTGTGAGTGAGTTATTGACTGAAGAAATATGTCTTCAATCTTATTTTGAAAATGAATTCTTTTTGCTTCAAATCCTTCAGTACTAGCAGTACCTTCTAAGTCATTCTCTAATCATCCAAAAGAAACCTTACACAAGGGTTGGCTTCAATGAGTGCAATTTCTGAAAGCAGAAAGGTCATTGGAAGGCTCAGTGTCCTAAGTTGAAACAACAGAATCAAGCTTGAAAGTCTGGCAGTCAGTCACAACCTATTGCTCATAGACCACTTCAGGGTTATAAACCATCACACCATAATACTGCAGCAGTAACTTTCCCAGGCTCTATTACCGATCTCAGTACTTTAGCTGAGCAATTTTAGAAGTTTCTCTCCTTGCAGCCACAAGCAATGTCCGCTTTTTCTTCCATAGGTCAGTTGCCTTATAGTTCCTCAAGTATGTCACACTCTGAATGGGTCTTGGATTCTGGTGCTTCTCATCATATGTCTCTAGATTCCTCATCTTTTACCTCTATGTCCCCTTTATCCTCCATTCCTGTTATGACTGCTTTTAACAAGTGTTGGTTCTGTTGTCACACCTCACTTGTCTCTCCCTAATGTTTATCTTATTCCAAAACTTAAATTGAATCTTACGTCTGTTGGTCAAATATGTGATTCTGGTGATTAGTCATGTTTTTGGGTTCTTTTGTTGTGTGCAGGATCTGCAGTCTCAGAAGCTGATTGGGACAGGCCGTAGGGAGAATGGACTATATATTTTAGATGAGTTAAAAGTGCCAGTTGTTACTGTCGTTGCTGCTACTATTACTATTGTTGATTTGTCTTTCTTTCGTTTAAGTCTTTTATCTTCTAGTTTTTATTTATGGCATTCCCATCTAGGTCATGTTTTGTCTTCTAGTTTGAGACTTTTGGCATCCTCAGACGCTTTAGAAAATTTAAAAACTTGTGATATTTCTTATTGTAGTGGATGTAAACTAGCAAAATTTTCTGCTTTACCTTTAAATCGAAGTATTTCTGTTTCTTCTTCACCATTTGATTTGATTCATTTTGATGTATGAGGACCTTCTCCTGTTACCATAAAAGGAGAGTCTCGATATTATATCTCTTTTATTGGTGATCATACTCGTTATTGTTGGGTTTATTTAATGAAACATCATTATGAATTCTTTTAGATATATACAACTTTTCGAGCTCTTATCAAAACTTAACATTCTGCTGTGATTTGATATTTTAGGTGTGATTTGGGTGGGGAATACACATCTAATAAATTTTGCCAATTGCTTGCCTTAGATGGAACCATCCACCAAATTTCATGTACAGATACTCCTGAGCAAAATGGTGTTACTGAAAAAAAACATAGGCATATTGTCGAAACTGCTTATTCTCTCTTGTTGTCTGCTTTTGTTCCTAGTGAGTTTTGGGGAGAAGCTGTTTTTACTGCAGTAAGTTTGATTAATACAATTCCATCTTCTCATAGTTCGGGTCTATCTCCTTTTAAAAAGTTATATGGGTATGCCCCTGATTATTCCTCATTTAGAGTCTTTGGTTGTACTTGTTTCATTCTTCGTCCTCATGTAGAACGCAGTAAGTTATCCTCTCGATCCGCTGTTTGTGTCTTTCTGGGTTATGGTGAAGGTAAAAAGGGGTATTGTTGTTTTGATTCAATTACTCAGAAACTTTATGTGTCTCGTCATGTTGTCTTTCTTGAGCATATACCTTTCTTTTCTATTCCATTCACTACTCATAACATGACTAAGTCTTATATTATTCATATAGGTCCCTTTTCTGAGGATTCTGGTAATGATACCTTTCCCCATATTCGATCAATTTGTACTTATAACTCTGCAGGTACTGGTACTTTACTCTCTAGCACACTTGAAGCTTCATTCTCATCTACAACCTCTCAAGCTTCATCTAAGATTGTGGATCCACCTCCACGTTAGTTTATTCGTATTCGTAAGTCCACAAAACTACCAGATTTTGCTTATTCTTGTTATTCTTCATCATTTACTTCTTTTTTAGCTTCTATTCATTGTCTCTTTGAGCCCTCTTCCTATAAAGAGGCAATTCTTGATCCACTTTGACAGCAAGCTATGGATGAGGAACTTTCTGTTTTGTATAAGACAGATACTTAGAATTTGGTTCCTCTACTAGGAGTGTTGTTGGTTGTCGTTGGGTGTATAAGATTAAAACTAATTCTAATGGGTCTATTGAGTGATACAAAGCTAGACTGGTTGTAAAAGGATATTCTCAACAGTATGGTATGGATTATGAGGAGATATTTGTCCCGGTTGTAAAAATGACTACTATTCGTACTCTTATCTTTTATTGTCGTAGCTTCGATTCGTCAGTGGCATATTTTTCAGCTTGATGTTAAAAATGTCTTTTTGAATAAAAAGTGAGTTAAAA